AGTAGAGGACTGTTGTCTTAGCTGCACATGGAGTGATTTAGAATGGGGGAAAACGCTGGCCGTGGAAATCCAGCTGTATGTAATCTATTCATTAAGGCAGGAGCTGACAAGAGCCTGGACTGGGAGGGAAGGAAATAGAGAAGAAGGGTCCAGCATGAGAGAATCCCAGGCAGAGAACTGGCAAGATTTGGTGGGCAAATAGAATAGAAATAGAAGAAGACGACTCTTGTGTGTTGTTATTATTAATAATAACATATAAATAATAATAATAATAATAAGAGGGAAGTTAGAATGACAGACTTGTTAAGGGAATGTAGGAACATATTCAATTTAACAAAACAGATTAGGGAAAATAGAGTAGATAAAGGGAAAAGTAGAAGTCAGTGTAGTCCGATCGCCAGGAGTTGTCTGCGAGGTTCTTAGTATGCACAGATAGTTACTGACACATGTTAACATGCTGATCATTATTTCATGGCTTATAGGCTTAGCTTGGAACACAAAGGGTTTGGGAGGAGGGCGAGCAGGGAATAACATGTTAGCTGTCCTCCTATTTCATGCAAGAGGGATTAGATTTAGATTTACCGTGCATTCAATACAGCAGCAGTTGTCTATTCCCTACTATATGCCAGGCACTGTGCTCAGTCCCAGAGATACAAAAGGGACAGCCCCTGTGCAATGTGAAGACACATTCCAGTGCAATGAGCAGAGTTGTGAGTGCGATAATGGAAGGTTTAGGAGGCCCCTTGCTAGAGTGAGTGATTAACTCTGGGGGGAAGGTGTACGGGGGAGTCAGTGATGGGTTTCCATCTGGAACAGGTTTTAAAGACTGAATACATTTTAAAGACTGACTGGTTTTAAAGGTTGGTTAGGAACTTGCCCTAGAAATGAGACGGGCCAGAGCTCTCTAGGTAGAAGCAACAGCATTTACAAAACAGGATTCATGATGTTGCAGGGCTGTCGTGGGAATTACTATAGAAGTGTGGAAACTGAATTATTAGTACAGCAGTTTGATGTTGCTGGTGTGTGGACAGCACAGGACACTAGTGAAAGTCAGATTTGAGCCTGGAAGTGTGAGCAGAAGCCAGGTTACAGGAACCCAAACTCATGCGTGGGACACTTCTAGGAGACTGTAGATTTTCAGACAGGGAAGGATGGCCTAGCATTTAGACCTATCACTCTAAAGCAGAAAGTGTCATGCTGTGCTCGGAAAAGCTCTGGACTTGAAGTTGTACAACGCATGTTTTTCTTTCTTCGTTCATTTGTTCGTGCATTCATTCAACCAGTATTTATTAAATGCCTGTGAGTTTCCTAGTATACTCAAGACTCTCGGGATATTGTGGTAAACTTGAAAGACAGATTGGAATAAAGAAAAACTGACTTGGGGCCGAGCTGGAGATCAGGTGGATGGAAAGGCCTCTCTAAGGAGCTGTATTCAAACTGCTGTAAATCATCAAGAAGCCAGTAAGTTAAAGGTCTTGGAGCAGAACTGTCCTTGCCAAGGAAGAGCAAAGCCTTGAGGGCAGGAAGGAGTTTGATGTACTACACAGTACGGTGGGAGAGGTGAGCAGGGCTTCAAAAGATAGGGCTTGTGTGAGCTGGCAAGGAGTTTGGGCTTCACTCCAAATGGGCTTTATTCTAAGGGGAGCCCCTGTAGGGGTGTGGTTTTGCCTTTTAAAGTTTTTTCTACCTGCTCTGCTGAGAATGGGTTTACAAGGCAAGATTGGCCTCGGGGAAAGAAGTGAAAAGGCCCTGTGGTGAGACATGGGGGTGCTTGGACTAGTGCAGTAGCAGTAGACTTAGTGACAAGTAGATGAACACAGGACATATTTTGGAGGGAGAGTTGCCATTCTTTGTCAACAAGGCCAGCACCTTTGTTGAGCCAGGTAATTGTTTTTGAGTACTGGACTTTTTTTTCCTTCATTTTGTGTGCACATGTGCTATTTGCAATGTAACAGCACAATTTGAACTTTAATCTGTGTTATTAGCATTTTATTTTCTTTACCAGTTTCTTAAGTCTAGACCTTATGTTTAGGAAAAGGCAGCAGACTTTTTCTGGAAAGAGCCAAAGCATAAATATTTTCAGCTTTTGGGCCAACGACAACATGTAAATAAATGAATGTGGTTGTATTCCAATAAAACTTTGTTTGCAAACACAGCCAGCCAACCCAGAAGTCTACAGTTTACTCCCTCCTGGTCTAAACAGCCCACAAAACCTGATTTGCATTTGTTGATTTCTGTAGTGCTAATATTCCCCTATGGCCAATTTCAAGCTACTATCTTTTTTTTTTTTTTTGCTGTGTATTTGTGATTTTTCATCGTTGTTGAGGTATAGTTGACTTACAATACTACATTAGTTTCAGGTGTACAGAAAAGTGATTCAGTATTTTTTTTAGATTATACTCTATTTCAAGTTATTACACAATAATGGCTATATTTCCCTGTGCTGTGTAATATATCCTTGTTGCTTATCTATTTTATACATAGTAGTTTGTGTTTCTAAGTCCCATACCTATATTATACCCCTTTCCACTTCCTTCTTCCCACTGGTAACCACTAGATTGTTCTCTATATCTGTAGGTCTGTTTCTGTTTTCTTAAATACATTCATTTGTATTATATTTTTAATTTCATGTGTAGGTGATAATATGTAGTATTTGTCTTTGTCTGATTTCACTAAGCATAATGCTCTCTAGGTCCATCCATGTTGTTGCAAATGGTAGAATTGCATTTTTTTTAATGCCTGAGTGATGTTCCATTGTATATATACACCACATCTCCTTTATCCAGTCATCTGTTTATGGACATTTAGGTTGCTTCCGTATCTTGGCTATTGTAAATAGTGCTGCTGTAAACATTAGAGTGTGTGTATCTTTTTAAATTAGTGTTTTTGTTTCTTTTTGGACATATACCCAGGAGTGGAATTGCCAGATCATATGGTAGCTCTATTTTCAGCCTGAGAATTCTCCGTACTGTTTCCATAGTGGCTGCACCAATTTACTTCCCTACCTACAGTGTACAACAGTTCCCTTTTCTCCACATCTTCACCAACATTTGTTATTTGTAGACTTTTTGATTATACCCATTCTGACAGGTGTGAGTTAATACCTCATTGTGGTTTTGATTTGCATTTCTCTAATGATTAGTGATGTGGAGCATCCTTCCATGTGCCTGTTAACTATCTGTATGTTTTCTTTGGAAAAGTGTCTATTTAGGTCTCCTGCCCAATTTTAATAGTGTTGTTTATTTTTTGATATTGAGTTGTATGAGCTGTTTATATATGTTGGATATTAACCCCCAATCAGTCATATTATTTGTAAATATTTTCTCTCATTTAACAGGTTGTCTTTTCATTTTGTTGATGGTTTCCTTTACTATGCAAAAGCTTTTAAGTTTAATTAGGCTCCATTTGTTTATTTTTGCTTTTATTTCTTTTGCCTTAGGAGATGGATCTGAAAAAATATTGCTATGATTTATGTCAGAGAGTGTTCCACCTATGTTCTCACCCAGGATTTTTATGGCTTCAGGTCTTACATTTAAGTCATTAATCTGTTTTGAGTTTATTTTTGTATATGGTGTGTGGAGCTGTTCTAATCTCACTCTTCTATGTGTAGCTGTCCAGTGTTCCAAGCACTACTTATTAAGGACACTGTCTTTTCTCCACTGTGTATTCTTCCCTCGTTTGTCATAGATTAATTGACCATAGGTACATGAGTTTATTTCTGGGCTCTTTATTCTGTTCCATTGATCTGTGTGTCTGTTTTTGTGCCAGTAACATACTGTTTTGATTACTGGAGCTTTGTAGTATAGCCTGAAGTCAGGGAGCATGGTACCTCTGGCTTTGTTCTTTTTTCTCAAGATTGCTTTAACAATTTGGGGTCTTTTGTGGTTCCATATACATTTTAGAATTTTTTTGTTCTAGTTCTGTGGAAAATGTCATGGGTATTTCATAGGGTTTGCATTAAATCTGTAGACTGATTTGAGAAGTATGGACATTTTAACAATATTAATTCTTCCAGTCTAAGAACACAGGATATCCTTCCATTTCTTTGTATTAGTTTCAATTTCTTTCATCAGTGTTTTATAGTTTTAAGAATATTGGTCTTTTACCTCTTTGGTTAAGTTTATTCCTAGATATTTTATTCTTTTTGATGCAAGGTTAAGTGGAATTGTTGTTTTGCTTTCTCTTTCTAATAGTTCATTATTAGCATATGGAAAAGCAACAGATTTCTGTATTTTAATCTTGTGTCCTATTGTTACCCTGCTGAATTCATTTATTAGTTCTAATAGTTTTTTGGTGGATACCTAATCATATTTATTAAAAAGAACAAAATTAAGTAGGTATATAGTTATTACAACTCTAAAGAAAAACTTGAGACAAAATACTGGGTTTTTTTTTTTTCTTTTCTGTTTTTACATTGTGGTCGTTTTAAGATATATTCTGCTGCCCTCTGCTGGTTGTGATCAGATCGCTTCCAAAATTGTCTTAAACCATTTTTCCAGTTAATTAAAGATTCATTAGTGTCATGTCTTTTATAGTTGGTATGCCTGTGTTTATCTAATAATTGTCATACATAAATACGTTTCATTATATGCAACTGAATGTTTCCAACATACATGCCAAATAATTATTTCAGCCTTTGATAAGGTCTAGAAATACATTAATTCCATCATATAAACTTCTTACTACTTAATGAAGAAAAATATTGTTCCAAAATACATAAACATATTCTTATAAGTCAGAAATTCCTGCTATTGCAAAATAGATGAATTTGATAGTTTACAGTTGGTTTGTCAAGAAGTTCAATTTTCACTCCATTTTACTCTTTGGATGGATGAGAAAAATGTAAAATCCCTTATGATAAAAAGCACTGTAAATACAGACTTTGTAAGACAAGACTGTTTCCATATCCCAGCACATATC